AAAATGGAACCAATATTGATTGCTGGTAACCCAGTTTTCCTACTCCAAACTTTCTCTACATACCATGAAAACAGGAACAGCATTCCAGCCACCTGAACTAGAGCTTAGTAACTAAGGGAAATTATCTCAGATCACAATACGAAAGAGTTCAAATTGAACAGGAAGGATTCCCTCTCTCTCCTTTCCCATTCCTCAAACCCATTCACCATGTCACCGAACTAAGTACTACTCTTAAGGCTCCTCCTAAGAGATGTATCCTACCTCTAGACTAATATTAACAGCTACTATTATTTATTAGGCAGTTATAGACTAGTATTAACTACTGGAAAGGGTGGTGCCATTCCCATTTAATGGAAGTGGTAACAGATTCTCCCAGAAATTAAGCAATTTGCCAAAGGTCTCACATTCAGAAATGGTAGCACAAAAATTTAAAAAGCAAGTCTGAGTCTGCTGCTATGGTCTCTTGTCTGATATCCCTGCTTCCATTCTTGTACCCCAACAACCCATTCTCCATATAGCAACTGCAATGTTCTTTTTAAAAAGTAAAAGTCTGGCACAGTGGCCCATGTCTGTAATCCCAGCACTTTGGGAGACCAAGGCCGGCGGATCACTTGAGGTCAGGAGTTCGAGACCAGCCTGGCCAACATGGCGAAACCCTATCTCCATAAAAATACAAAAAAAAAAAAAAAAATAGCCTGGAGTGGTGGTCTGCACCTGTAATCCCAGCTACTTGGGAGGCTGAGGCATGAGAATCGCTTAAACCAGGGAGGTGGAGGTTGCAGTGAGCTGAGGTCACGCCACTGCATTCCAGCCTGGGCGACAGAGTGAGACTTTTGTCTCAAAAAATAAAAATTAAAAAAAAAAAAAGTAAACATCAAAGAACGTTACTCCCATGCTTAAAATCCTCCAGTGCTCTTGGGAAGAACTCTTGGGAAAAAAGTCCAAACACTCCTGGCCAACAAGCCCTAAATAATATGGCCTAAAGAACTCTTACCTCTCATCTCCCAATGCCCGCCTCTGCTCTCTCTGCAGGAATCCGAACTCCACCAGTATTTGAAGACCTGGACTTTGCTTTAGGACATTACTGCATGCATTTACTCGATGCTTCAATATTCGGGGGAGGAGACCTTTTGAGCATTTTCCTTCTGCCTGCTTTCCCATCTGTTCTGTCACTTTCAACTGTCACTTCTTACAAGCAGTGGACTTACCGTAGCACGTTTCTTTATCCCTCAGGCACAGATCCTTACCCAAGAATTTTTTTTTTAACTTTTTCATCATGGAAAGTGGTTGTTCTTCAACAAAACGAAATTCTAACATTTCGTTCCATCTTTCATCATCAAATCAATATCCAACCTCCATCTGAGGTTCAACCGATGCTAAATGAAACAAATGTTTTCACTCATCCTTAAGAAAGTCGAAGATGTAAGTAATCAAGGCACAGTAAAGAATTAAAAAAAAAAAAATGAGAATTTATACAAGCATCTAACCTGCCACCTTTAACCCTTTAAATAAAACTTAGATTTGAGCGAACTCAATCCTACTCCTAAATAAGACACTCATTCATCTGCCCGCTTTGAAATCAACCTACCCTCCTGGCCTCGAGCTGCTCCTTATTTTCTGATCCAGTGGGGGACTTGGCCCAGAAGAAGCCAATGAAAGGCAAGGCAGAGAGAATATCCGAGAAGAGGGCGAACTGAGAGCCGCTCTGCTGGCGCCCGAGGAGGCCCCCGTTTCGGTGGCGACAGCGGTAGGAGAGCACCAGGCCCAGCGAGAGGAACACCAGCATGCACAACAGGAGCTCCCTGTTGGCCAAAGTGATGACGTCTCCGCATTTCTTATAAAAATAGGTGAAAGTGGCAATGCCCAGAAAAGTCCACATGGTTCCAAGGCTTCTTTGGTGGCACCAGTCAAGGCGGAGATTCTCTTCTCGGGTGTGTTTAAGGTTCTCCCCAAAATGCGGTATCAAGAGAAGCACAGGGAGCCGTCCTGACTCCAGGAAACAGTGTCCCAGGACGAGAAGTCCGATCAGACCAGTTTTTAAAAATCATATAAACTTAGTGTAAAAGTATGTGAATCCAAGTTGTATAGGACGTAGAAAGCAATATTTAAAAATTGCCTGCCGTAACAGCTCCCTAGCAGACTCGCTCCTCCGCGCCCAGGAAATCCAGATTTCCCTTTTTTCTTTTTTGGTGGGGTTCCCGGGGCTGTTGCTGGGGGTGGGATATTCTGATGCTGGCTCTTCGTGTTGTAATTTATTTCTTTTCCCAGCAGCAGGTGCCCTTTCAGATGGGAATGGAGGTGGAGGGAGGGTCACAGAAACACCCTGGCACTGGGGGAAACGTGGCCTCGCCTCTGGCGACAGCGATGGCGAGCAGTGGCCGGAAGGCACGGAGGCTGCGGGCCGACGCGGGTTCAGAGGCTTCTTTTTCCGCGGACGGCGATGCTGCACAGCCCACCCCCGGGAAAACGCCTGCGCCGCCGCCTTCTCCAACAAAAGATGGCCTCGGACTCGAGTGCAGCTCCAGGGCAGCTTAGCTTCAACCTCAAGATTTAGCGGCCTCCCGCTTCGCCGGCCCCCAAAACTGCCAGCCGCGACTACGCTTCCTCACCGGTGAAAGGCGGTTTCCAGGTGGCCTCCTTCAGACGGCTGCGGCGGCTCCCCACGGCCTCCTCACTAGCATCCCTCGCGGGCGGCGGCCGTCCCCAGCGCGGCGCGGCCGCAGCAACCAGAGTAACCACCGCGCGCCACCGCTCGCCACCGGGTTCCACGCGCCTCCGCCGCCCCGGCGGGCTTGGCCCAGCGAGGGGCCAGGGGGCGGGGCTCAGGCGCGAGTCCTCCCGTCCCGCGCGCCCCGCGTGCCGGCCCCGCCCCCCGCCCCTGCTCCCGCCGCCGCCGGCCAATGAGGGCGCGCACCGCGCGTAGGCCGAGATGGCGCTATGCCGCGTTTGGCCAATCGCAGGCGGCACAGCCTGCGCGGCGACGCCCTGAAAGACGCTAGGGCGATGTTGCGTGGTGTGGGGTGGGGGCGTGGGGATGGGCACGAGCCGGCTCGGGCGGGGGTGGGGCTGGGGTCGCCGGGGACGCTCTCCGTAACCGGGGTCGGAGTCGGTTCAACGCAGCAGTCCCAGCTCCTGCGCCCTCCCTGGACAGAGGTGCGCTTGCTCTGAGGAGAAACCTAGGGTGCTGTGCTGCCTCGGGCCGGAACGTTTACACTGATTCCGCAAGCACTTAATGAGCGCTTATTATGTGTCAGTCCCCAGAGTCCGAAAGGCGAATCAGACACAGCTTCCCTGCCCTGTGTACTGTGGAGAGAGCGGTAGGGAGAGCCGTGAGTGCTTGGAGAACCTGTCGTTCAATATATATAGAGGTCAATCTCTAAGAAAGAGTTTATCTGGGAATGTGCAAGAATTGCAATTCAGGACACTCAGACCTGGGCAGCCCCTGCATGTGTGCAAAGAACAAAGGGAATGGCTGGAGTTTTGTTTTGTTTTTGTTTTGTTTTGTTTTGTTTTTGAGACAGAGTTTCGCTCTTGTTACCCAGGCTGGAGTGCAATGGCGCGATCTTGGCTCACCGCGACCTCCGCCTCCTAAGTTCAGGCAATTCTCCTGCCTCAGCCTCCTGAGTAGCTGGGATTACAGGCACGCACCACCATGCCCAACTAGTTTTTTGTATTTTTAGTAGAGACGGGGTTTCGTCATGTTGACCAGGATGGTCTCGATCTCTTGACCTCGTGATCCACCCGCCTCGGCCTCCCAAAGTGTTGGGATTACAGGCGTGAGCCACCGCGCCCTGCCCTGAATGACTCCATTTTATACAATCGACTTTCACAATATCAATTTTTAAAACTAGAAAATATTCACTTGCTAAATCAGAGTTGTATCTAGTCTCTTAGATTTGGGGTACCCCTCCTTTTCTGAACTGGGTGGCAATATATATTGAACTAGCCAGCCTGTTCCTCAACCATTCTTCCTCTTGGCACTTCAGGCTGTGAGCCTTGGCTCACTTCCCTGGTTCTTGGAGTAGGTCCTAGTATATCCACTGGAATTGTGCTGAGGGCAGTAAAAGAAAAGCCAGAGTAATTATTTGATTCAACCCAAGGTGCATCTCAGCTGATCCTAAGCCAAGGAGAAGGGGAGTGAGGAAGAGGAAAAAGATGATCTAAAAAAGCTGCCTTAAAAGGTTTTTATCATATTAATATATTGGCCATGAATTACAATAATATGTAATTTATTTACCAATTATTTGTTGTTCTCCTCCTCTCCCCTAAAGGGTTTAACAAAATTATTTAAATTGGTAAAAATTCTGGAAAGTAAGCAATATGCCTTTAAAACAATGTATTCCCTTTGATTCAATAATCCTACTTCTAGGAATTCACCTGAATTAGTAAGGGTTCTCCAGAGAGACAGAAGAAATAGGATTTGTGGAAGGGGATTTATTAGGGAAAATTGGCTCACACTGACACAGAGATTATGTCCCGCCATAGGCCCTGTGCAGGCCAGAGCATCGGCAAAGCCAGTGGCATGGCTTAGTCTGGAAGCTTCAGATGATGCAGCCCCCAGTTTGAAAACAAAAGTCTGACAATCTTGGAGGTATACTGGTGCAAGTCTCAGGGTCCAAAAGCCGAAAAACTTGGAGTCTGATGTCCAAGGGCAGAAGAACAAGCATCCGATCTGGAAAGCAGACAGAGAGCAGAGAACAAGGGTCCCCCATCTTCTTCTTTGTCTCAGCCGGCCCTTAGCTACCTGGATGGTGCCTGCCCACATTGAGGACAGGTCTTCCTCTCTCTGGCCACTGACTCTTGCATCAGTCTCCTCTGGAAACACCCTCACAGACACATCCAGACATCATGTTTCACTAGCCACCTACGCATCCCTCAATCCAGTGGACACCTAAAATTAACTATTGCAAGTCCACCACTTGTTAAGCTATCACCCATACACATCTCCTTAAACCATACTTCATCTCCAAATAAAGGTCATAATAATAGGTCTCACAATAAAAGGTCATAATACCACTTAACGTAATAAAACTATCCTGTGTACAACCAAAAACGCACAAATCCCATCTCCAGAAGAGGAGGTGAACTTCTTTAGTGATGTTTACTCTTCTGATATCCCATAACTTAAATACTGTGAGGTAAAATTAACAATACTTCAGCACTAAAATAAAGTCAATAAATTATATGTTAATGCTAAATGAGTAAGAGGAAAGAAAACAGATATCTGTGTAAGATATATGTATCTATGCATGAAGGTATTAACAAAATAGGGAGGAAATAGTCATGACAATTACAGTCCTCAATTCTGTTAACTGATCATGTGGGTATAGCTGGTATTTATAACTACTTTCTTCTATTGTATATGCTGTATTCCCTTTGCCTTCAACTTCAGCAAGAACCTCAGCTGGTTGTGGTTCTCTACCTGGTGGGGTGACACAAATCTTCATTCCTAAAGAGTCTGGGCCATTTGTAGTCCTGCCTGGATTCAGTTATTGTCTAATAGTTTGCCATTGACCTTAATCAAAGGGCATGGTAAAACCTGTATTTCACACATTCTTCCTTATCTCCATGGTGGAGTAATAAACAGTCCAATTTCACCCTTGGTAGTGCAGATCAATTACCCCAGCCAACACCTTAACTCCCTTCTTAGCCTATTGACTCAGAGGCATGTAGAGACCAACTGGCCAGGTGGCAGTTTTAAACTTCCAATTTAATGAAATTACTGTTGTGTCTGCTGGTAAAAGTATTCCTCCCTCTGGAACTAATGCCAGCGAAACAAGTCACTGTAACAGAAAACATTTTGCTGGTGGGTCACTAGGGGCAATGGTGAGTGGTACCACTCCCATTTTCACCTCGATTGCTGGACCCATGAGTCCTGGATATGGGAAAAACAGTATCATATATTGGATGCTGATTCAGAGTATATACAGCCTCCTAAAGAACCTTGTTCCAGTCCTTCACAGTATTATCACCTAGCTAGCACTGGAACTGTGACTTCAGAAGGTCATTCTGCCATTCTATCAAGCCAGCTGCTTCGGCATGACGGAAACAAAGTAAAACCAATGAATTCTATGAGCATAAGCCCACTGCCACACTTCTTTGGCTGTGAAATGGGTTCCTTGGTCAGAAGCAATGCTGTGTGGAACAACATGATGGTGAATAAGGCATTCAGTAAGTCCATGGATGGAGTTTTGGCAGAAGCCTTGCATGAATGGAAGACAAATCCATATCTAAAGTGTCTATTCCAGTAAAGACATACAGCTGCCCCTTCCATGATAGAAGCAGTCCCCTGTAATCAACCTGCCACCAGATAACTGATCACTCTGGGGAATGGTACTATATCAGGAGTTCAATGTTTGTCTCTTGCTGGCAGAATGGACACTCAGGAGTGGCTGTAGCAAGGCTGGCATTGGTAAGTGGGGGTCCATGTTCCTGAGTCCATGCATAAACACTATCCCTGCCATCATGGCCACTTCGCTTATGAGCCCATTGGGCAATGACGGGGTGGCTAGGGAAAAAGGCCTACTGGTATCCACAGAACAGGTCATTCTATTCACTTGATTATTAAAATTCTCCTCTGCTGAGGTCATCCTTTGGTGAGCATTCATATGGCACACAAATACCATCACATCTTTTGCCCAGTCAGAGAGGTCTATCCACAAACCTCTTCCCCAAATTTCTCACCAATTTTCCAATCATGTTCCTTTCAAGTTCTTGACCATTCAGCCAATCTATTCACTACAGCCCATGAATCAGCATGTCATCACATATCTGGCCATTTTTCCTTCCAAACAAAGTGCACGACGAGGTGCACTGCCTGAAATTCTGTTCACAGGAGGATTTCCCTTCACTACTTTCCTCCAGGGATGTTCTAGAAAGGGGCTGCAGTGCTGTAACTGTCCACTTTCAGGTGGTGCTTGCATATATGAAGTACCATCTGACAACTAGACCTAGTCTTCTCTTCCTCTATCAGCTGGTCATAGGGTCCTCCCCATGAGGCTGTAAGTGCAGGTTGGGAGAGAGAAGAGAGGCTGTAGCAGCAGAAAACAGGCATTTGGGTCCCTTCCTTAGGGAATCTCCTTTACCTTCAGGATCTGCTCAGGTTGATCAAGTATACCCCACTTCCATTTGATGATGGAGTGCTGCTGTACTCACCCAACTTTATGGCTTGCTGCATTAGATAACACCCAGTTCATGATAGGCAGTTCAGGTCACATGGTAACTTGGTGGCCCATGATCAAGCATTCAGTTTCTACTAAGGTCCAGTAGCAAGCCAAGAGCTATCTTTCAAAAGGAGGGTAGTTATCTGTGGTTGATGGCAGGGCCTTGCTCCAAAATCATAAAGGCCTCTACTGTGATTTACCAATGGGGTCCTGCCAAAGGCTCCAAACAGCATCCCTATCTGTCACTGACATCATAAGTACCATTGAATTAGCTGGATCATATGGTCCAAGTGGCAATGCAGCTTGCATAATAGCCAGGATCTGTTGCAGCCCCTCTTGCATCTAGAAGCTTTTCCAGTCACTCAGTAAACGGGCCACATCAACATACCCAAGTGAGGAAAGTGTTGCTTCCAAAATCCAAAAAGGCCCACTAGGCATTGTTTCTTAGTTACAAAAAAGGCCAGATGCAAGAACTTATCCTTCATCTTAGAACGGATAGCTCAACAGGCCCCAAACTATAGGACCCCTAGAAATTTCAATGAGATAGAAGGCCTTTGAATTTAGTAAAACACAAATGTTTTACCAGTAAGCCCACAGTGGTTGCTACTTCTTACGAGGAACAATCAGCCTAATGTCATCAATGTAATGGACCAGTATGATATCTTACGGAAGGGAAGGCAATCAAGATCTCTAAACTAAATTATGACATAGGGCTAGAAACTTGATATACACCTAAGGCAAGACAGTGAGGGTGTTTTGCTGACCCTTATGGACAAGTATAGAGAAAAATGCATTTGCCAGTTCAATAGCTGCATACCAGGTACCCAGAGATGTGTTAATTTGCCCAAGCAATGAAACCACATCTGGTACAACAGCTGTAACTGGAGTCACCACTTGGTTAAGCTTACTGTCTAATGACAATAATCTACTGTCATTCCCCAAGATCCATCTGTCTTCTACACAGGGCAGATAGGATTGTTAAATGAGAATGGGCGGGGAACCACCACCTCTGCATCTTTAGAGTCCTTCCTGGTGGCACTAATCTCTGAAATCCCTCCGTAGATGTGATATTATTTTTGATTTAGTATTTTCCCTGGTAGACGCAGCTCTAATGGCTTCCATTTGGCCTTTCCCATCATAATATCCCTCATTCCACAGATGAGGCAACCAATGTGGAAATTCTGCTCAGTATGCTAAGTATGTCTATTCCAACTATGCATTCTGGAACTGGGAAGGTGACCACAGGATGGGTTTGGGGACTCACTGGACCCACTGTAAGTCAAACCTGAGCTAAAAACTCCACTGATCACCTGACCTCTATAAGCTGCTACTCTGACTGGAGGGCCACTGTATTTTGGGTCTCCTGAAATCAGTGTCAGTTCAGAGTCAGTTATTAGTAGTTCCCTGACAGTTCTGATGACTTCTTTCCCCAATGCACAGTCATCTAGTAAAAGGGTGTAAGTATTAACAGTATAAATGTTTGGTAGTATACCCAAATAAAGGGTAGTGTACCCTTTATTCAAAGGGTTCTGGGTCTATAAACTGGTTCAAGTCTGGAAATTGAGCAGCCATGATTATCTGTTTTTAGTATTTGAGTTAGACTTTTGTTTACTTGACCTGGAAGTTTTCTGCTTATACACATCAAGTAAGAACATAGTAAGCTTCCCATCTATTTCACTTCTAGGAACACCAAGATTAATTAGCCAAAGCCAAAGGTCTACATGAGTTATTCTGATTGTTGCTTTGCCTCTGCTATTCCTTCATTAGGGTAACTATGCCCACTTTGCCTTTGGCAGTTGAGTTTTGCCACTTGGACCCTGCCACCTTGGAATCCAACTATTCCCATTCTTTCCCAATCAGTGCCCTCACTTTAACAGTAAACATCCTGTGAGGCTGAGTGCACCTTTCTTTGTAGGTAAAAATAGTTGCATGATCAGGGATTGCATTTGGGTTTTGGTAATTTCAACCCTAAGGCTGTTGGGGAGAAGATTCTCCTTCAGAGAACACTTAGAAGTTTCTGGACTATTTATGTATACCTGGAGCTGAGAATTCAAATCTCTGAGCTCATCTTTTTCTTTCATTACTTTGTCCAGCAATATTAGTAGCAACCAACTAATGTCATTGTTTCTTGACTTTCCACAAATGTCCTAAAATATCATGTACAGACTTACTAAGCGCATTGCTTCTTGTAAGTGGTGAATTAGGAGTGTCACAAGCATTTATTTTGTATATCTCTATAAACAGCTCAGCAATGGACTATCAGTGCTGTCTGTACTGTTAGAAATAGAGTCTCTAGCATTTTTAGCTCTAATCAGATTAGAGGGCCAATTCCAGAAACCCCAAAACCAATTAAGAAAATCCACCCTTAAAATTCTGTTCCTCTGGAAGTACTCCTGGTATCAAACCCTCATCTTATTTCCCTAGTTCTTAAGGCAGTTCTTGATGATGTTTCTTGAAATTATGCCTAGAGCAGCAAAAGGAAAAATCAAAGTAATTCTTAAAATGATTCAACCCAAGGGGAATCTCAGTTGATCCTAAGACCAGGAGAGGAGGAACAAGACTATCTTTGAAAAAACCATCTCAGGCAAGGTACAGTGGCTCATGCCTGTAATCCCAGCACTTTCGGAGGCCAAGGCAGGAGGATCACTTGAGCCAGGAGCCAACAAATCATGGATAAGAACGGACTACTGTAATGACAGTCTTGTTGTTACCAAATGCTATGGTTTGAGTATCCCACTAAAACTCATGTTGGGACCTTAATTCCCAGTGCAGCAATATTGGGAGATGGAACCTTTAAGAAGTGGAGCCTAATGGGAGGCATCTGGGTTGTGGGGACTCCCTCTTCCCTTATGGGCAGTGTGCTGCCAATTCTTGCGTTAGTGAGTGATCTCTCTCTCACATGAGACAGGATTAGTTTCTGAGAGCAAGCTGTTAGGAAGCGATTACAACTCTCATGTTTTGCCCCTCTACACATATTCTCTTCCTCCTTGACTTCTGCCATGTTATGACATAGCACAGAAGCCAAGCAGATGCTGGCCCCTGCTCTTGGACTTCCCAGCCACCAGAATCATGAGCCAAATAAACCTCTTTTCTTTATAAATTACCCAGCCTCATGGATTCTATTATGGCAATACTGAAGAGACCAACACCATGATTTCAGAAAATAAGACTGGCTGAGATGCATGTGTCATGTTAATGTATAAAAACAACAGTCACAGTACTGCTGAACTCCACTACCTCTCACCATCAGTGAAGAAACTTCTACAGCACTAAGGAGAAGGCCCATTTGGTAGACCCAACTTGGATGACTTGGGATCATGGAGGTAATCCCAAGTAGTAAACAGTAGATCTTAGTTACAATACAGATTTACAGTCACATGTCCTCTGGTAGGCTGTACAGTAGTTAGGGAGTGAGTTCCCTGCTATAATTGTGAGTCATGCATTGACATGGCTCTCCCTATGCTATGGCATGGAAAATATACATGAGCTCCTTCTTTGAGTAGGGAAAATATTCATATAGGTGTCTTCTATTTAATTAAAAAGAAACTATGAAATAAAGCACTCTAAAGAATGCTTTCTTTATTCACATGCTGAATCCTTTGTGCTAGCAAGAAAAATAGAGACTATAGAATATGTCTTTCTCATGGAGCTAAACAAAGAGGCTACTTGCTGATTAATTAAATTGAGATAAAAGCATCACATATTATGTTTGACTATGTTATATTCTCCATCATAAGGTACAAATCTCTCTTTTGTTTTCCTCATTTTCAATCCAAAGAGATAAGGATTTTTGCCAAATTGTTCTACTAATGGAGCCCATCTTAACCCATCTAAGATGTGAACATCTTTTTTTCTGGTTGACATCAAGGTTTGTGAAATAGGTTTTATATATTGCCAGCCAACATAGTACACTGTACAGGTGATGGTGACAGGACATAAATTGTACCTGTTGTTAATCTCTTCAGGTACAAACTAAATGAAACTGAACTTGTGACTTTGTTCTTTCCTAATTTAAACCAAATCCTTTGTTTCATGAATAAAAAGATAATTTAGTAAAATTTCCTGTCTCTCTGTTATAGCTGCTTACAGAGTGAATAAAAGTGTTTTAGACAGTCTGCCAACAATATAGTCCTCTGCTTTTCCAGCATTTTATCCCTTAAAATTTCTGAAGTTGATCATAAAGAATCTACAAGTAAGATAAGTTTGGGGCTATACTACTATTTTTAAAACATGTGGATAACATTTTTTTTCAGTTTGTTTCAATTAATAATAGCAGCAACTAATTACCATTTACTGATACCCGGCTATGTTTAAGCACTGTGCTATATGCTTTGCAAACATTTACTTAATGTTTATAGTAACTCTGTAAGGTAGACAGTATTTCTGCTTTACAGATGAGGGAACTGAGGCTCAGAGTGGTTACCTGCCACACAGCATGTAACTGATTTTTTTATCACCCCAACTACTGCTTCCTTGCAACTGAATTTCAGCCTCAACAGCAAAGTCCTAAGTTTAATTATCAAGCATTAATCAAACTATTATTTACTGTAAAAATCTGTCCCAAAATATTACAATTTAAGAAAATGTGGACAATACTATATAACATACAAAGATAGAAAGATATTCAGGTAAGGTCACATAAAAGCCAATAATGGGCTAGGTGTGGTGGCTTACACCTGTAATCTCAGCAGTTTGGGAGGCTGAGGGAGGAGAACTGCTTGAAGCCAGGAGTTCAAGACCAGCCTGGGCAACATGGCAAGATGCTGTCTCTACAAAAATTTAAAAATTAGCTGGGTGCAGTGGCATGTGCCTGTAGTCCTAGCTACTCAGGAGGCTGAGGTGGGAAGATCCCTTAAGCCCAGGAGTTTGAGGCTACAGTGAGCTATGATGGTGCCATTGCACTACAGTCTGGGTGACAGTATGAGACCTTATCTCTTAAAAAAATTAATAAGAAAAAAATAAAAAGCCAAAAATGCCCAATGTTTTCCCCATTTTGAAAGCAGAAAATTTCCCCCAAATTCTTCTTCAAAACTCTATTTCCTAGTTTTTGCTTTATTTTTGTAATCAAATAACAATACAAAAACACACAAATGCCTTGCCAGCATCAGGTACACCACAATCATGAAAGATAAAATAATCCCCAGGCAATTAAATGACCATCAGTTACAGCCCTTTGTATCAGCTACAATGGACCCATTCTGGCTTCACATTCCTAATATGTGTCTCTGCATATTATTCATAAAATATATTCTGAATCCAAAAATTAGATGAAATCATGGGCAACTCGGGAGTCCTAACCTTCCTACTCATCTACCTATTGCACTAGTAGGAAAAAATGGGAGGAAGGAAATAGGATATATCTAATACTTTCCAAAGCATTATTCCCATATGAAGGAGTAGGGAAAATGGGGCCTCAGTTATCAGATCCACATACCAATTATGTCAAGAGGCAAAAGAAAACTGTCAGTACTGAAGCTGAGAAGTCTCAGTACTCCTTAATGGCAAACTGTCCTTGGACACTAGCTCAGAATTAGTGAGCTAATTATTAGAAAAAGAACCCAGTTCCTGAGCTGACCAAGAATTACATAATGGGATAACTTGGGGAAAAGACTCTTCATTAAATATTTTAAGACAGAATTCAGGAATCCTTCCTCCTATCCTGGCTTTGGTCAAGACAGTGAGATCATATCACTAGATAACTCAGTTGGCTGCACATAAATTAGAACACAATCATTAAAATATCCAATCTCTAAACACAGTGTCTTCAAAACTCTATCCCAATTCTACTCTACAGTACAATTCCTTCTGGAGAGCAAACCCTTCAGAGCACATTTCTACAGTCTAATAGAAAATATTTATGGGTCTGTCAAGAATGATGATCTTGAATGAAAGAACCTTGTATAATATTCAATACAGCAGCCAGTGGTCACACAGAGCTACTGAGCACTTAGAAAGTGGCTAGTGTGACTGAGGAACTGGATTTAAAATTTCAATTAATCTTAATACAAATAACTACATATGGCTAGAGGCTATGGTGTTGGACAGTATAGTTCTAGATGCTGTAATAGTTCATTTTTAGTGACTAAAAATGAAAAAAAAGAATCTTTTCTTTCTTGAGCCCCAACAAAATAGCCAGGAAATCACATTATTTACTCAAAAAGATCCTTTCTCTGGGTAAACCCTTGAGGCTAGTAATGATGTATATCTACCCAATAAAGGAAGAGAAAATAATTCAGTGGCAATTCTAGCTTCAGGTTCTCACAGATTCCTTTGCTTACTCTCAGGATTACTCTGTAGGTGTCCTTTTGAAGTTATTACTACCTTACCTTAAATCAAAAAAGTCTTCCTTTCTTCATCCTAGGTGGATGAATCTCTCACTGGACAGATCCAATAACCTGGTGATTGGGGTTTTCCCATCCTTTAAACTGGGAGGTTGACTTTTTCCAAATGTTTTGACAAACACACCAAAGAAACTTTATAGCACAATAATCAGAGAATAGCTGAATTGTCATGGTCCAACAAGAAAGAAAAACAATCACCAGGCTTTGGGACTCAGGAAGATGTATTTGATACTGAAAATGAAGGGATGAGGGGCACTTCCCCTGAACAGTTTTTCCAAGTCCATTCAAGAGGAAAATCCTCAACATCAGGAGACTCAAAAGGCTTTTCTACGTGAACTTTCCGATGCTGATTGAGGTAGGCACTTCTGCTGAAGCATTTCTCACAGCTGGTACATTTGTAAGGTTTTTCCCCTATGTGGGTCCTCCGGTGCCTGATAAGGTTAAAGCTCTGACTGAAGCATTCACCACAATCAGGACATTTATAAGGTTTCTCTCCTGTATGTGTCCTTTGGTGAATCACCAGGGTGGAACTCTGACTGAAAGTTTTCCAGCACTCAGAACATCTGTAAGGTTTTTCTCCTGTATGTGTCCTCTGGTGTCTAATGAGATGGGAGCTAAGGCCAAAACTCTTTCCACATTCACAACATCTATATGGTTTCTCTCCTAACTGGATTCTGCAGTCTTCTATCACACTGCAGTTCTGATTCAAACTTTCTTCATATTCAGAACTTTCATAGGATTTCTCTCCTGTGTGCGTTTTCTGGTGGGTAATAAGGTTTGAACTACGACTAAAATTCTTCCCACATTCTGGACATTGATAAGGCTTTTCTCCTGTATGTATTCTCTGATGTTTTATTAGAGTAGAATTACAACCAAAGCTTTTTCCACACTCAAGACATTTGTAGGGCTTCTCACCTGTGTGTGTCCGCTGGTGGCGTATGAGGCTGGAACTCTGACTAAAACTCTTCCCACAATCAGGGCACTTATAAGGTTTTTCTCCAGTGTGAGTCCTCTGATGTTCTATTAGGACATAACTGTGACTGAAGCCTTTTCCACAGACACAACATTCATATGGTTTTTCACCTGTATGTGATCTGTGATGCTGAATAAGGTGAGAGCTGCTGCTAAATCTCTTCCCACACTCAGGACATTTATAGGGTTTCTCTCCCGTGTGAGTTCTTTCATGGATAATAAGATGGGAGGTATTGCTGAAGCTTTTCCCACATTCACCACACTGGTAGGGCTTCTCTCCTGTGTGCATTCTTAGATGCTGAATCAGGTGAGAACTGTTACAAAAGCATTTCGCACACTCAGAGCATTTATAAGGCTTTTCTCCTGTGTGGGTCCTTTGGTGAGTACGCAAGTGAGAACTATTATTGAAGCTTTTCCAACATTCGGAACATTTGTAGGGTCTGTCTACAAAGGATGAATTCTGCTGGACAGAGGCATTGGTATGTTTTCCTGGGTCCCATTCCTGGTGATTGGGGTTTTCCTCCTTTTTAGCTATAGAGTTTCCCCAATTCTCTGACTTGCCATCACTCTCATAGGAATCATGACACCAAATCTCATCTTGAACCCATGTCAATGGCATTTCTTTTGCATCCTCATGCTTATAATGTTGTGGTCCGTGTCTTTTAGACCATTCTGAAGGTTTCTCTTTAAGATTATCTGCCTTAGGATTGTTGTGGTGAACAGTTTCCAAATTATTCATACTTTCATCTCCTGCAAGAATAAATAAATATTCTAACCATATTCCTGAATCTCTGCCAGAGAAATAAATTCTAAATTGCAGTGGAAGAGAGGAAATAACAATGTGAAACCTCATAAGTAATTACATATAAAAAAAATTTTTAAAGACAGTTTTACTTCTTTTCCTCTGTTTACCAGAGGCAGGTGGATGTTTTTTGTACTTAGCAACAACACTAATGAATTATTTGAATCATTATTGGCAAAGGGAACATCAAACTAAAAATAAACGCATTAAATTACATTCTAGAAGACTTAAGAGAAAAAACAGGATTGATAAGAACAGGAGTGAAATTGAACAGAATACCATCTCAGGTAAAAACTAGGCAACAGCTTTGCTAAAATCTGAGCAAATACTATACAAATAACAATAGCCACTACTTATTAAGAACAGTAGCTTTGGATGTGATATCTCAGTAATCCTAAAATATGAGACAGATACTCATTTTCTTAAAGATGAGAACAATGAGGCTGAAATAATTAACACAGCTTTTAAGTGACAGCACAAGGAATTAAATTAAAGTTTGTCTCATTCCAGGGTCTTGTTCTTTCTATATCAAATTTCTTAAGGATTCATATCACTGTTTTGATCCCTCACCTGTGAAGGGGCTTTTCAAATTCTCCCTCTTCATGAAGCTGTTACAGTCTGAGACCAACAGTTCTTTTTCTTGCTCCATCACAATGATCACAGCCACGTTACGGATCAGAAACCCTGTGGAAGGAAATAAATTATGTTTGGAGGTATTTCATAAGTTCAAGCTTATTCTTCCTCCTTCCTTCCCAACCATTCCAACATAACAATAGGAAGCACAGAATGTTCATGAACCATACTGAAAATAAGAAACACAACTCTTAGCAGCCCTTTTAGAAAATCTTATCTCTGATGCAAGTGTTTAGAATTAAGGGTTAACCCAATTAACCTTTTCTAAAGAAATAACAGTGCAAAAAATTAAATCTTCACATTAAAGGTTTGAAGATCAAGCTTCAAAGACAGAACACTAATCCTCATTGTCCAAGCGTAGCTTAGAAACACTTTTAATTTAAAAAACAAAGTATTTTTTTTAAAGACTTCAACAATAAAATGTATAAAGACTTCAAGGAATCA